TGGACAAAAGTAAGCTGTGATTCGAAATTTCTGCACCGTTCTTAAACAGTATCGCAGGATGGCGTTTGTCTGAAAACAATCCGCCGGCCTCATATCGTCCAGTTCTTACAATGGGTGCCTCTTGGAGATAGTAAGTGATGTCGAACTCTGCATGACACTTCCAAAACATAATTATCCATAAGTGTCCGTCCTATCTGTGGAGGGGAGTGAAATTGTGAAACTAGTACGTCCTGTCCAGACTCCAAATCATACAAGATCATAAAACGTGACATTCCTTAGGACAAAGACGGAGAGGTAAATACTACATTTTGGAAGCCAAAATTAATACAAAGCATCCGAAAAGGTTCTTGAAACTTACAACTGCGGGCGTGTTCAACTTCGACGGATCGTCGTTACATCAGACGGTCATCGTATAATAGGCATTGGTCCTATAGGGGAAGCGCCTAACGGACTCCATCCCAGTCGTCCTACGAGAGTGGAAAAGCGCATTATAGGCAAGTAAATTCACCCATACGAAGATCAATAACAACTCACGAACATTTCAGTGTATAACACACGTACGCGTCTCTGTGAAAGGTGGGCCACCACTTGCTCGTATCTCAATGACAACACGCCTGACCTGCGACCCATAGTCAAGTACCACTTTTTCAGGACGTAAGCGACGTAAAATTGGCAAGAAACAACACCCACCTCCTCTTTTCGTTCGGGGATCAGGTTCGTAGTTCATGACGAAAAATAACATGATTTCCACTTATGCTCTGAACTATAGTCCCCTCCTCAGCTCTGGAAGATGGACTTGGTCGGGGGCCGGGGTCGGGCTTCCCGTAATTGTGCTAGACTCACATTTCGTCACGCATTTTCGTCTCCAGTCTCCTTTGAATATGTTGCATCGACGTTTGGCGGAAAGAACGACCAGTTCATACTCTGCGCCGGAAAATGTACGATTTTGCGCTGATTTTTCCCAGTCTCTGCTGACGATGTTGTGTAGCTGGAGAAATTCTTATTTGGGATCGAGAATCTGCTAATCTTCTTCATCATATCTATCCTAAGGACCCTGACCAAGATTTAACTTGTATATCATGCAATAGCCTCGCAGGTGACCCTTTCGCATTCGCCGTAGGCGGGCACGACGGCAGTATTCGTATATGGTCCACATTCCTATGTCTTACTCCTATGACTCCAATCCATGATCCACAAGATGTGACACCCCCCGAATCGCACTACAGCTACTCTCCTAGAGGATGGCATACAGATAGGATCCCCCAGGATAGTTTCCTGAAAGTTGTTACGCCAACTCGGCGGTTGCGATCTCCGAGTATGACGTCGACGGCTTTTCTATCAAGATCGAGTTCGGAATCTGCGTATGGGATGCAAAGAAGTATGAGCGGGAAATCGGATACTTAATTATAATTTATATGCATATGTTTACTAGACGACAAAGATTGTCGTGCCTTCCCCAATATCATATAATAACTTGATTTCACAATTGACGGACACTTCAGTTCCGACTAGCGGTAAGACTCTGCCAGATATGATTCAGTGCATTAGGCAGGATGTCATTGTCAGATACTGCCTGCACGGCATTCCTATGAGCTGTGTATACAGGCGGCTGAGCGATTCAAGAGAACTGTCGCGTCACCCGAAGCATCATGAGCTCACTGCCTTAAATCGACTCAGATGCAAGGCGGTAATACACATAGCCCAAACAAACTAGACAGTATGGGTATGACCAAGCCTCAAACGATCGGGGAACAATGGAAGCATCAGAAGCAATGATGAGTATGGATGCATGCCAGGCTTCGAAGACAGTAGTAGAAGAAATCACTGACTTGGAAAATAGGTGTGTTCCTCATAATCAGAATCGTCAAGGACAGACGGAATGCAAAGTGAAAGGGGGAAATGATCCGTCCTGCATCGCCAAACAGAAGATATATGCAAGATGCCGCAGGTGTGGTGATGAGGCACAAAGTCAAGCGAAGATGGACGCTGCTCAAGTGCCAATGTGATGCAGAAAGGAATAGCCGCTGCAACACAATTCAATCACCGATAAAATATGAACCTGTTCGCCAGAGCAGGGCAATTTCACGGTGTGTCAACGATGACGACAGTACATCGACGAAGATCGAGAGGGCACAATAAACAGACCTTTCCCAAGGCTGAGCGGGGGCGACAGATGGGTCTGAGATCAACAGATCTGGTCGGTGACAGGGTGAGGACTCCAGCTCAGAAGCCGCAGATAAGGTGAAGCCGCGGTGAATAAGGCACGAAGCATATTCAAACGGATGAAGGCACAGCCAGAAATCAAGATGAGATACAATTGGAGGGGCTACAAATCACCACGCCAACAATCTTACAATGAGATTTGGAGACGGTGAGCATCAGACTGCGTGAAGTTGTGATGCCCGAAATAACACTGAGCTAGAAATGTCAATGACTAGAAAAGCGGAGCGATCATGATGCACCCTAGTAGATATTAAAATCAGCAACGTGATGGCGAAGCAGGCTAAACAACCAACAAGAAACGCACGAAATGACACGAAACAATTCATCAGTTGGACAGAACATTGAATTGTGTGATATTGGTTACTGGGACATCCTGACTGGAACGCGTCTGAACTAGGTGGAGAGTGCGGACGAAAGGTTGAGACATGCAAGAAATTGCTGCGTGGGTTTGCAAGAGATGGCGACACTGTACCGTCTCCACGTTTTGCAGATCAATATTATTCACACTACAGAAGTATGACAGGGCCCAGAGGTTATACAATATATCTGGTGCGACTCTACTGCGTGCATCGTACTTCTTGTACTTCATTGCATATCTGTTGTTAGCTTGAGAATACCATTCAATCGGGATCTCGCTCAGCACATTAGAGAGCGGCGCACCATCCTCGATTATATGCTCTAGGCAGGGACTATCTGCACAACGAAACCTGGGAGTCCCCATGACCTACACATTGTTTCAGAAAGACAGCGTCAAAAAGCACGTTCGGGGACCATTCGATCGACGACACACGAGCCACCACTCCTCTCAGCTGACTCGCTCCTGAAATTGTCAGTGTGGGGGTTACCGAGAGCTCCAATTAGTCTGAATCTCAGGATCGATAGGGAATGTGTAAGGTCGCTGGTGGTCTTGCGATGAGGACGTGAAATGAGCACATCATCGCAAGTCCCGGCCATACTGAAGCTTCGAAAAAGATGGATAGATATCCACGAAGTGCGGATTCTCGGTCACGGTCAATTGGACAGGAATTTGCGGTTTGTACTAGTCAACGAGTGAATTAGCTCCTGCACGAAGTTCCTAGCGTGGCACTGCAGCCTGCGATTTTGCGTGGAATACGATGGAAAACTAAATCTTCAAAGCTTGTCAGCAACTGATCCATGTAGCCTTACCAAGTAATCACATACCAATCAAAAGCTTGTACTTGACGCGAGGGTGAGCACATGCTACGGAACAGCCCCCTCAACCCATGTGCCTCGGAAGCTGGGATGCACTCATTTTCGGCTACGGTGTGGCTGGAAGTCTGCTAGGGGTGAGGCTACAGTAGGTCAAAGTTGCACTCAGCAATGGAACATGATACGAGGAGTTGCGGCCGCCACATTAACGATGTCAGCAGAAAGATCTGGGACAGAGGATCATCGTCGATCTAACCACATGGGGTCGTGATGGCCCTGGATCAGCAGCGCCCAGCAATCGAGACGCTGCAATACGCAATGAGTTAATGAAAGAGCAAGCACAAGCAGACAATACATGAACGATCCAAACAACAGCATACTCCATGAAGACGGAACATCATGATTGCATTAAGATGGCAGTAATACCAGGGAAAGGGGCGAATAGCTTATGGGTTCGACGAGGGGAGTAAAATGAGTTAACGAAGAGAAGAATTGATTAAGTGATGCTTGAGGTGCGGGGTTACGAACGATGGATACAGAAAGTCGACAAGAGTGCACGAACGTAACGTGGTGTATAGGGAAGATATGACATCGCACGATCGCGTCCGAAAGCGCAGTCTAGAGTAAATTCGACACGAACCCGCCTAGCACCCCAGAAAGAAAGTTCCATTGTCAAGGCATCGACAAATGATTGCCGGGTAGGGCTCGAGGTTGGGTGCTACGTATTCAGTTTGTTTCTGAAGGAGTTCTTGTTAGATAAATTGACAAACGATTAGGAGAGGACGTTACCTTTGCCTGTTGCTGTATGGTACCATTGCTATTTGGATTGAAAGCACGAGTTGTCTTCACTGCTATGCCATGCTTAGGACGACAAGGAAGTGATATAAGATGGGCTTACTTGGACCGAGATTCACTATATATACCAAAAACGCGTGGAAAATGTAGGACAGGAAGATCTTCCACGAAGCATGTTGACGAAATCTGGTGACCTGTTGAGGCATTAGGGAGACATACAACAACACGATCCGACCTTTTCGAACAGTGTTTGAAGGGATGCTCCTTGAGCATCACGACCTGCCTACCGGTCTATGGGAACTGCTCCATCACTAATCACATATGTACTTCAACTCGATTCTGTCGAAGAAAGTCTCGGTGGTTATTTTCCCTGCTGGCTGGTGCTTGTGCCACATCACGAGGAAGACGCCTCGCTGGAGCTAAATGATATAACAATTTGAATGATGACATGTAATCGCGTAGACACTTGCATTCCTGTAGCAACCCACTGTGCGTTTCTCAGGTAGAGGTTAAAAAAAGTGGCTTGGCCCAGAGCGCGTCGGCTAGCCTTCGTATTTGATGGTTGGTTTGGTAGCGGAACGACAGGAAGCAAGATAGCAGGAAGCTCATGAACAGTTGACAGGAGGCGGTAATTACATAATGGATGAGGCGTTGAGTACTTGAAAGGCGTCGGTAGTACCGACGGTAAGATAGAAATTTGCGGGGCACTTGCATGGCTATAAATACACAGGTAATCTAATCACGTGAATAGAAGCTCAAACCACGTGACAAAAATGAACCGCGACTTGGCCCAAAGGTTTCTTGAACCCACACGTTTTCCTGGTTCCAGTGTTCACTAGGTTCACTGCTTCTTCTTATTCACTTACTTTTCCTGTGTTACACGTTTGTGATTCAAAATCAAGGTGCAAAGTTACCTTCATTAACTCTTATTACGACTACTTCTCCGCAACGAGGGTTCCATACGCCTGTACAGCTCATGGCTGCCACTCAACAGTTACCTTCATGGATGACACTGGCAACTACCGTATATACAGATGCTGCAGGTCAAACTGTAACCAGCGAAACCACCCTTCAGCTTCCACTCACTTACTACGGTCCAAGTGTGAGTGTCTGCATTCGTTGATACCGCCAACGTCGCCTTTGCCCTCGGAATAGTTATACACTAGTTCACCATATTGACATCCTTGCTTTCTAGATTCCCTTGGGCAGTGATGGTGCTTGGACATACGGTGGTCTCACCTCACCAGCAGCATCAACGTCTTTTCTAACGACTTCCTCCACTGCAACATCTTCCACCTTTACCTCAACATCCTCTGCGACACCTACTTCCTCTACGACATTTACTTCCTCTGCGACACCTACTTCCTCTACGACATTTACTTCCTCTGCGACACCTCCTTCCTCCTCATCATCCTATCAGTCTACATCTACGTTTATCTCATCGACTCCTACTTCTACATCGCCTTCTACCTCTGTCACATCAAATCCCTCTTCACATGCGACTGCTTTATCCAAAGGAGCCCTCATCGGTATCATCATCGGTGCCATCATCTTGTTTATCCTCTTGCTTCTGCTTTTCATCTGGTTCGTCCGTTGGAACTCCCGTCGAAGAGACTCTAGGGCTATCACACCTATATGGACAGGATGGAATGTTCTTACCCCTGATCCAACCGGCGACGAGGAGAATCGTCCAGCTGGTCTGGGTTCTCCTCGCGATAGCGGTGATGATGAAGCAGATTCTTTCCTCCGTCGCAGCACTGCTACAGAGCCTGAACGTCGTCCACGTCCAGTATCTTCTCTTCCCCCCGGCGCCGCCCCACCCTATATTGTGGGAAGCACCGGCTCTGACAGAACAAGATCCTCCCAGGCTTCGACAGACTATGGCGTCGTCCTACCTGGCTCAGGACACTTTGGACAGGCCTACAGTGGTGATGGCATCCCTGCTCACGCCAGCAGTGAAATGCTAGGCCACATCATGCCTCCTGGTGAGCTCCTCCGCATTACAGATGAGGAAGAGCCGGAGGACATACCCCGACCACGCATGTACAGCTCAAGTCATCCCTCTCTACCCGAGCACATCGCCCCCCTACTCCCACCCCCACCTTTTGAGGGTGCTGCTACTCGCAAGCCTTCAGACCGCTCCCTACTCAACGAAAAGGAAAAATCCGTCCGCAGTGCCTCTTACCCAACGAGTGACCTTGAGGACTCCAAAATCTTCACTGCTCGCCGCGTACGCGTCCAGGAGCTCGGTTCCCGCAGCCCGCAAGATGACGACTCCACGCATACCCAGCCTGTTGCAGGACCCGCCAGCTGGCGCAACTCTTTCTCTCGTCTGCGGAGGAGCTGGTTTGGTTCCTCCTCATCTCGCAGCGGATCAAACTCGCGCAAGGGATCAGATAAAGACGCCGAGGCAGCCCAATCCTTGCTTGGTCGCAGACTTGGTGTAGGCTATACCCTTGCAGGAGACCGTCCGATATCGAGCGTGAGCGCTAAGAGCGCCGTATCCGGGAACACAGTGTACCATGACGCAGTCTCTCGTATGGGTACTCCTGTTTCCCTTCCTTCAAGAGCAATCACGCCTGCGAGTCAGAGGGGAAGCGCAGTTCCTGCAACGGACTTTGCACCTCCTATGCCCAGTGGAGCACCCCCAGCATATGATGATCCCTATGATTTGATGGGTAGTAGGGTCCCCAGTCCGTTGTCTCCCACAGGCGTTGACGTTCTGGATACACCAGCACCAGCTCCTTTTTCATCCGCTTCGACGAGTGGGAGACCTTTGCCGCCAGGTCTTGTCCCGTTGTACAGTCGCCATGCGTGGAGAGACTCATTGTCTGTGATCACGGGCTCGTCAAATGACGCGGGCATCACAATCGATGTTCTCGATGCTGAGCCGCCACGAGCAGGTGACGGTTGGAGGAGCTTAGCCGGTGGCCTCCTTGGTGTCAGTGCAGGACCAGACCCAAGTGAACAAAGAACCCCGTTTGGAACTGTAAGTTTGGGGATCACTGTTGAGAATATTGGATTAACGATGCTTGTTGATACAGCCCCAATTCATCCATCAAGGAAATCCCTTGGTCTCTGAGCGGGGGTCTTTGCATTCTATGCGTTCACACCTAAGTCCCTACTCTGCACGTTCATCTTCAGGCTCAGCACCTGCATCCTCAGCACGCGTTTTCAATCTCTCAGGGTCCAATTCTTCTCGTCCTTCTGCAAATTCTGCCCACTCACGCGTAACAACCACGTCCTCTGCGTCGTTGAACTCTAGTCGACCGTTTGGTCCTATCTCACCATCTGTGAGTGCGTTTGGACACGCAGATCCTTCGCGGTACACGTCCCACACCATTGAGGAAAATGAGGACCAGTTTGCGGAGCCAGGCAGCCGCACATCGATTCTTGGTCCTATGCCCTCATTCTCCACTCGTTCGATGATCTCCCAACCAACGATCCGTAGTGTGGGTGGCACAACGGTAACGAGCGATGACACAGAGATGACAAGAACGACTGTCACTTCGGGTTCTGAGGATGTAATAAGCACGCCTAGAACATGGTTTCAAGAACGACTGAGGGCCGAGATTTGAGATGACCCAGCGCTATAGATGAGTTCTCTTCCAAGCGCTGGGGCAGGGCTATTCTATAGATGTGACTTTTCCTTACTTATTCTTGTTGCTTCATCATAACTTTTGCGATACCTCCACTTACTTTTGCGATCCCTATCATACTCGATCTTGTACGTTCGTTACGAAGATTACGATCACCTCCTTACTTACTGCTAAGTACTGATGTCTGGCATACGATTCTTGTACAGTCTCTGGTGAAAGATACAACGGTCATTCATAACGCCACAAGCACATCAACAAAACCACCCAGGTCTTATGAGCCCTTGACTGGCTTAACAAGGCCATAATAAGTGGCCGCGCAGCGCCGTGAGCGCGGAAATACTCTGGTCGAAAAATGCAACCCAAGGCTTGTGCAAAGGAGAGGCTATTATAGACAGGCGGCCCCATGCAAGGCTTGAGAGGGTTACCATGTCCTGAGAGGCTCATCAAGATTCGAGGTGCATGCATGGGCATCACACGAGCCAGGTAGTATAATGCAAGGCCATGCAGGCCAATCTATTAGCTTCAGCATAATACTAAAATACAACGAAGTGCGAGCAAAAAGATAAAGCACAAGTGCGCAAAGGAAGACAGCATGTTCGAGAATGAATCCGAAAAGACAGATGGACAACTAGAAGCCGTTCATCCGTTTCTTGTTGCAGAGGGTTTCGTTTGGTGGCTTTGGTAGGAGAGGTCTTTTTCCCTTTCTTCTTCGATATGGCTGGTGCATCGGGAGTGATACCTTCATCCTCGATGGATGGCTGATTAGTGGGGGCAGGATTTAACTTCAAGCTGACCTTTGTCAGGTGAGGAGAGGGAGGGACAGCAAGGTGAGGCACTACTTTCTTTGCCTGATTCGTAGGTTTTGGTGGTGGTGGTGGTGGAACGGATTCGTCATCTTCATGCTCGGTAAGTGGTGGCAGAGGGGAAGATACCGTTGAGTTCCTGTGCGCTCATTGTGTTTCGCATCCAATTCGCGGCAATAAACACAACTTGTTACACAAGTATACAATTGCTCCTAGTTCCTGAACAGTTCAACCGACATTAGTACCAAGTACAAGTAGCCACCATGAAGAGCTAGCAGCGGCTCTGAACACCAGTCTTCACTTGGTCTCGAAATTTCTGTTCGTAATCCCTCAACTCTCTTTCTGTTGCCAGCGTTTATAGGAGTGCAGACGTCCCCGACGCTTAGAGGCCTGTAGACAGGTGAGATATATCGCATAGTCTGTGTGTTGAAAAGTTCAACAATATCAAGTGTGATCAGTTTTAAAAAAGAAACTGACGGTTCGAGTACATCCCAAATGCATGAAGAACGAAAAATAACAACCAAGAACTGATCATGATCGCAGACTCGTGCATTTGGCATGCATGGCCAGTCGAAGTTCTACTGGTAGCATGTCTGTCAGCGTGAAATCTCGAACGAGATTATGATATACGTACACAAGACAATTCGAAGTGGCATTGGAGTAGCGTGTCGAAGCCCAGGTGGCCGATAAAGAAGATATCCTAAGGATACACGAAAGCAACTGATCATCTGTCCGAACAAAAAAAATGACCATGGTTCATAAAACCCAGATGGCCGATGCCACCATGACATCGAAGAGATTATCACAACATGAGCCTGAGGTCATCAGCCACCTGAACGAACAAACAGAGAGTGAAGGGCCTATCATATTTGACCTTCGCGCGGAAGTCACTTCCGCACGCCTAACCTGTTGATAGGTGCACACCTGATAGCGTGCCGCCCTAGGGTGACCCACCCTCCTCGACTCAGAATATTAAGGTCACCGGCGTGCAAACAGCGCAATCCAGACTTCAACCAAAGAGTCGAAGTCGGTAATGAGTTCAACAGGACCAATTCAACCATTGCAATGACAAAGCCTAAGGTAAAATGATCTTCAATGTGCTGTTTCACGCAGAAAAATGTTGTCACCTTTGAGTACAGAGCGGAATGTAATAGCATTCGGGTCAGTTACAGTCGACCCTGTCTTCCAAGCAACAGAGGTAACAAACAATGGGGAGGTTGTAAGGAGAGTCGAGAAGAGCTTGAAAAGACCGGCTTCAGGACTGAAAGCTGCCCGTGCCATAAGTACATGCGATGGCTCCCTTTCCTTATAGCAATTGTGATGCAGATGCGGGGAGTCTAAAAACCTGCGATACGATTCTGGAATCTCTTTCAATTGACCAGCTTTTGATGTCAACCGCGACAGAATGAAGGCCCATGCTAGGTATGTGCGCGCATGCTGGCCGGACAAGTTGGATGTCAAGATCTCATGAATCCGTCTGAGCGACTCTGGCGAAGAGGGATAAAATGTTTTGTCAGAAGGAGTTGCCGAAATCTCTATTCCTCCATCCTCTGCCACTCTCTCCAGCTCGAGGACCTCTACAGCGACAAGTATCCATAACGCCGCGCGATCATGCTGCAGTTGATTGCCTTCATCATCTAACAAAAGGGTTGAGTTTTTCTGCGAGGAGCCAAGGTTCGTGTTGTAAGCAGTTTCAAATATTCGAACAATCAAAGGACCATCGCAAGGAACATACCCCCAGACTGTCCAAAAGAGCACCTCTAGCGTCACGAGTCGCTCCTTCATGTTCTGTTTAGCCCAACGAGAGGCAATACGTGCACTGGCATGCAAAACCTCTGGGATGTCCATTTCCGTTTTGTGAAGGTATTCTGTTATGAGGTCGAGTGCGAATTGATGACTGTCTTGTAGGATTCTGGGAAGACACTTCGTGGCAACGGTATGGATTGAGTCGCCAGTGTTTTTGTGGGCACGGAACAGTGGTATGAGGGCACGCAATACGAAGAGGCATTCGGAGTAGTAGATGATGAGCTCGTCCACGACGTCTTTGACTACGGAATCGGGTGGGTGCATTGCTGAATCTGCCAGCTCGATATCAAAAAGTTGCAGCTGAGCACCACCGACGTTCTCACCTAGAGTTGTGATGTTGGAAGTGGGAGAGGGGACAACCGAGGTGGGAGTGAGAATGTGATTTCCGCAATTACATGCAAGACTGTTGGAGCAGGTGTCAGTGATTTGGAGATGTGGTAAGGTGACATTGGGCGTACTGCAGTGGCTTGCAACTCATCATTATCTGACGCAGGAGGGTGCTGACCTCCAACTCATATCAAACACGAGGTGCGATTGGTATCCGCCGCTGGAAAGGTTAGTTTCAAGTAGGGATATGGGGCAGAAAAAAATACATACCATGGTTGCTTTCAGGCAATACAGCCTGGCTTACGTTGCTGCGTGCAGCAACAGCAGCAGTCAGCTTTTCAGATCCTGCCATCAACTTGCCCTGAATGAGACGGGGAGCACAGAGATGCTGGACGGACGCAGTGGAGGGTGTTCATGATGGTGCAGACTCAGAAGGCGAAGTCAATGCCTCAGAGCAGCCGTTGCTGATTACAGACACCCTGCGATTACTGATCGTGACGCCTGGGAGACCATTAAATGCTTTCAAGGTGACCGTTTTTGACATCGAGACTCCATTGAAGATTGTTCCCATAGCGGTTAGCTTGAGGGAGGAAGTAGAAATCGTCTAATCAAAACTTGGATTGTGTAGCAAATAGGTCGCAAATGAGGTGAACCTGGTACTGTTATCAGCATCGACAAAAGATGCCGCGAATTCAATTATGCTCACTGGACTTGGTCGGTGATTACTAGCTGGCCTTGCGGGTTATAATTCAGCATCCCGGTATTCGCGGCAGCACACTATGGATCACAATGAGTATCCCATGTGTGATCAGTTTGAACCACCTAACCTGGAGGCAGTGCAATCATTGCAGTATCATGACCTTGCCACGTTACCCTGTTCGACATGAGCACCTGCAGATACAAACTGAGCGAAGACATACGTCACTGGGTCAACAAACTCGATCAGAGCATCTAGAGGGCCAACGTTGGTCAAGGACCCTTGCAAGGAGAGCTGGAAGCCCTCGTTTGTGATGTCCCTATCACGACCATCAGTGACCAAAGTAGATGTCAAATAAGTGGTTGAAGCATACGTAATATTTGCTTGGTTGAAAGCTAGCGTAGCGCCGTTGACAAGGTCTTGGGTAATAGGACCCCCCACCGCACCAATCAGATACAATGACGTCTTGTCCGTCTGTAATCAATTGAGTGATAAGCGTCAAGACAAGAAGAAGTTCCAGACTTACAATAACCGAAACCCCATATTGATTGAAGGCAAGATTGTTGCGTCTAGTGGATCAGTGAGTTCACCGAGTTAAGGCGCTTACAATCATCAAGTTTTACGGAAGAATCCACGGGAAGTAAACTTTTCAACGCGTTCAAAATGGCGTCGTCGATGTCGAACTGGTTTCCACTAGTGTTTTTTACATCAGAAAACTTTAAGCCTGGAGAGATGTTGTGACCATACCTGACGCAAGTTTGACTACTTGTATCCACCGACGTATTGACCTTGAAGAAGAGGTCATTGAGGTGCTGGTTGACAAAAAACTTTAGACATACATGTGGGTGGAAGCTCGGGTTATCAATAACCAGCTGGAATAAACTCGCCAGATGACTAAGGTCGACATTGTGCTCTTGAGCAGAAGTGGTGATCAACTCAATGATGGTCAACGGGTCGAGGTTGAAGTTGAACGGAAGCACAGTCGACGTGATATTGGAAAGTCCATCAGCATGGATTGGGTTTGAAGACATGTCAACATGATTGATAGCGCCAAGGGTCAGGTTGTGGGAGGTCGCGATTGCAGTGACTTCAAGCAGATTGATGCTGGCTGTGAATGGATTTGCCAAAGTGAAAGTCGTAGACGCCGCACCAGCTTGAATGATATCAATTGGAAATTCGAGGGAAGCGCTGCCAATGAGGTTCTGGTGCAAGGCCGGGATAGTCACTGGTGACAAATTGATCTGCGCAAGAGCCGGTTCCAAAGAGCCAATCGAAGTGGAACTGGAGGTCCCCATCATGGTTGTTTGTGAATCGACACCCTGAAGATAGTTCTCAAGCATCGCTTGTCCTGCCACTGTTTGCGCAGATCCTTGAGGGGAGTAATGAACGTATAATGGATACGGTAAGCAAATGTCTACATTCAGAGCAAATGCAACATCAGGAAAATACCATTTGACTACAGGTGGCTATATAGTCGCTGTAGTACCTGTAGTCCCGTTTGTCAAGTCCCTTCTACATGCGGCTATATAGCCACACGGCTCAATATATAGCGCTATGAGAGTCACTGGTAGCTCGTCGTAGCAAGCTACAGGCAGCTACACAGCGCAATAGCTAGCACTGGTAGGACCTTCTACTAGCTTCGCTTTTTTGAGCTACAGGTGCCAATCCACGCCACCAGCTGAAATCGACGAAACAGAATAGAATTACAGTATAACAGACAGCATCTATACAGTACTACAACGAGCAGCCATTGTCAAAGACTACCCAGTTACACACCTCCCTGGCGCCCCTCTTGGGCATCTCTAGCCTCAGCTTCAAACTCTTGAATCGCGTCGTCAAATATCTCATCTGTCAAGCCGATGGTAGTTGCCTGTGCTGCCAGTGAATTCACCCCAGCATGGAACCTTGCCATCCGCATTAGTTTGCAGGATAATCAATGCAAGTGGCCACCGACATACTGAGCAACGTCAAGGATATTGACACGAATTTTCTCGAGTAGTTTGTAATGTGAGGTGCGCTCGTCGAACCGCTGTAATGAGCTGAGATGGACCAGGTAGACCGGAGTATAAGCTGTGGACGAGAATTTGATGTCTTCCTTCATCCCAGTTATCCACTCATCAAGGCAACATTCGATCTGTCAAACCGCAGGAGTCAGCTACTACTATCTATCTGAGTGGTTAGCTATGGTCCCTATATACATACAGATGCGGCCTCTGCTATAAGCTTCACGGCTCTGCTCGTCCCATTAGTATGAAATCCGATATTATTCGGAAGCACTCTCGACACGACGCTCGTGCGCAGCGCAGGTACGCACTGATTTTTTAAAATTTTAATTACATTCTTTATATTCAAATGGTCCTGACTGTCAATCTTATTTCATGACAGACACTCTTGTTTGGATCCATCTTAATCTCCCCTTCCACGTGCAGATACCATGCGACAATTCCTAAACTCGCTGCGCTGAGTCGCTGAAAAAGATTAAGGCGACCAAAACCATTGAGTTCTGACATGTTAGTTGTGGCGGCTTTCTGTGCAGAGTCGAAGGGCCAGTTTGGATAGTCATTGATTCCCTGATATCTCTCACTCGCTCATTATATCTGACCGCTTGCTATGTTTTTCTTGTGGTTTGTTTTGCTCGTATGAGTCGTACATTACCACATTAGCCTGATACATGATTTTAATGATATCATCAATTTCTTCCGTGTACTTCAAGTGTGAAAATCTTCCTATTTGTGTTTCCTAAGGTGTGCAAAGGCCTTCCTAGTTGTCTACTAGGACATCTAATTGTTCTAAATAGCAAAAAGGTATGGCTAATTGAAAATCAGCAATAAAGTCTGGCTAGGATGTCTAGTCCATCTAATATATCTAATTTGTATTAGTTACACGAAAAAAGATCTAATCCGAACAGCTTTATCTAAGTTTACGTGGAAGGGTTTTCCTGATGTTTCCAATACAACGTAATATATAGCGATGTAAAGCATTGTAATCACGCCGATTCATGACTTTATATTACTTTATATTGTTTTATAACGTCATATCTAGGAAAGAGCGCCTCGGCTGGGAATGTCTGAGTCTCAACAGTTTACTGATGCGGCCGCCCACCGAATCACTGAGCTTACCGGCACGACTTCCCTAGCAACTGAAGTACTTTCTCCGTTCAAGTTTCACAAGTCTCGCGTGGCATGCAAAGCATCGAAAACTTAAACCAGCACCGTAATAACATTTTCCTTCAAAACTCTCAACCCCTTCTTTCCGAGTCAGTACTACTTACTAGTATGATCGTCAGCACAAATAGTGATGGTGTCCATGTTCTATTTCCACAAGGCATAATGTCGGAGGACGGTCCTCAGTCCAGTGAGGATGGTTCCGGCCTACATTCACCCATCTTTGGGGCTCAATTTACTCAGCTGCCTGGAGAGAGTAAGTCCTATTAAAACTCTTTTCAAAACAATGTTAATCGTCATTTAATCTACATGTTGTCCACAATCCAGTCTGCAACTATCATCAAGGTCAACTAGATATACGACATGATGCGGCAGCGGGCATCCTGGCCTCTCAGTTTGATTATACCAATATCAACTTCCATCCATACCTTCACCTTCTCGAAACCCCTTTGAATGTCCATTACCCTCACCACCATTATGTATATCATTCTGAGTTTTCTCTTCCACAAAGACATAACCTTGACCTTGACATACCACCCCATGTCTACCCTGATACCTGCCTTCCGCCCCCTCCAGCTTATGGCAGTGTTGTTGATTTGGATTTGTCTTACCAAGGCTCCCCAAGACGAAGATATTTTTCTGAGGACTTGTGCTCACAATCACAGCCGGCAGCATCTACATCTCAGGATCTGCCTTGCAGGAAAATTTCAAATCAAGTGATAGCTTGTCGGCAATGGTATGTTTGTTCTTATTCTTATTCAGGCTGCTCATTCACATGGTTGTTAAGTCATGCGAGAAAAATTCGGTGCGACTCTACGAGACCAGCTTGTCACAATTGCGTGCGCCGCTTGAATGAATGCCACTACGATGCAACACCTAAACGGCGAGGGCCTGATAAAAGGCCGGGCACTCGCCAGCACTCATGTAAGAAGTGCCCGGCTGATGGTTCATCCCTTCCTTCCCTTCTGTCTAAGCGGAAACGCACTTCGGTCAGGCATGATGACTAGCTCATGTCTTAGGTTTTGGTTTTGGGCTCATATGGTTGGTCGTGCATAGGCTATTCTCCGTTTCTCTCTCATCTCAGTCTCAGGTTTTTCGTTTTTCAGATCATACAGTCAACTGTGCGCCCATTCTGTCATCTCTCGTCCTGTCTCACCCCATCATCCCTCAAACTGCACTTTGTACGCCCCATATCTGCTGCAAGCAATTTTCAGGCCAGTACTTGCATTAGCGCCAGCTACTTGCATCCCTCGCTGTCTCACTCAGCTCTCGTCATCTCAACTTTCCAGCGCCCTCATTTATTTGCCACCATCTCCGTCTCTCAGAAGTACACCCCATCCACTCTTTAGTTTCCGTGCACTCTTCCAATGCCAGTACCACATTTTTTTTGTGTGCACCTCTTACTAAACGCCTGCCACGTTAGTTTTTGGCAACGTCCTCCTCCATGTGTCTGGCAGCTGACGCTCTACTTATCATCCACATGCACACCACCATGAACCACCCCATTAACCTTCACCTTCATGCCTTGCCTTTGCAATGCACTTGTCATGACACCAACGGCACCCTCATCCATTCACCATGATCAAACTCGTCCTTCGACATGTGCCTCATCCCCGTTACGTTTTTAACCCGCACCTACTCTACCGCGGCTTCGCTCAATCCATTAGTCTCAGTTGTTCTCAATATTCCCGCAGACATCACTCATTCGGCACTGGCTATGTCACCCCGCAGCCCACACCGTCATATCCTAAGCCCTTGCACATCTCATCGACATAAACAACATGCTCTTTGATGGACACTGAACGTGTTTGAGAGGATGGGAAAGGAGTTTTCCTTCGTTCTTCCATCCTTACTTTTACATATATTTTGCCCCCTGTTCATCATACACGACTACCCCGCTTGTCACCAATTCTATGTGTTTTGTTTCACTAATTCCTTCGTCTCCCACCTGTAATCAGGTTAGGTGCATCACGCGTGGATGTGACTTCCGCTTGGAGGTAGTTGAATGGGGTGACGGGGTAATGCTTATGAGGGCGCGCCCGGAACACCAAATAGATAGCTGACGAATAGGTTTGCTCATGTCCGAGGTAAGCTTGGGCTACTCGATATCGACGATACTTGTTGACAGGAAGGCAGATCCACAAGCTGATGAGAAAACGCTCACTTTGCTGGGAGAACATCTTAGCCGAAATGGATAACAAACCAATGTCACGACATGTGCCTTCAAATTCTGCAGGCGAGTCAACCTATAGGCTAGAAGACATTCGATCGTGAGTTACATCGAGAAAGTATGGAAGACAATGCTTGACTCAAAATATAAAAGGTTGTCCTTCAAACAAGTCAGAGCTCGTGCCATTTTCTTCTTCTTGAACTCGACAGGGGAAGATTACGCGCAACGACGGATTCCAGGGTATTCTGAATGCCATTGCCAGTGTCAACAAGAGATGGATAGCATGGTAGGCGCCCTGAAGCACCTTTTGGAACGGAAGAAGTATTTCGAAGAGCAGATCGACAGTTATCACAATTACGTTGAAGTTGTGATGATGACCATACAGCGAGGCAAAGGGTAAAGATCAATTATGTTTGTGCCCTACATTGCACTAAACTCTTGAATAGGAAGATGTGTTCTGTTCTGCCGTTCACAAAGCAGTATTTCCATCTGTGGGACTTGCAGAAGTCAAGGAAGAATCCTCAGTTTGAATCTTTCAAATACAGTGCGAGGGATTTGTATGAGAAGAGCGAAGGTGCACTGGCAGCTGAAGAGAATAGACTCAATCCAGGAGACATCTTCGACGGACATGTAGGTTGTATTTTTTGCATCCGAATTAGTTACTTACCAGTTAATTTAATTAGAGTCAGGATCCATCCATCCAAATCCGATGTCGTACCCAATATTGAAATGTAGTTCAATCACGAGGTCTCAAAAATGCAGCATCCATGCCCATCCGCGCGATTCTAGCTACATCATCTCTGCTCAAGCCAAGGCCTAGCGGAGGCTGTGCCAGAAGCAAGGAGTACTCTCCAAGACAAGACGTTCTGAAAGGGAGTGCGTCGTAGGTCTGTTGATGATGCAAAACGTCAGATGAAAGAGCATATCACGCGCAAGATGGCATACTTACACAGATGGCGATGGGATGGTCATTCTTCAGATAATAGCGAATATGATGCGCGTCGAGGGATGCGACGGTTTTACATCTAAAAGAAGGATTAGATTTGATAGTTTGTAGAGTCAATGCATGATCCTACAGAAGATTGGAGCTCAGGCATATCTCGATGCATGGCTTGTACTGTCCGTTCGTACGCGCGTTATTGGGCGACTCCACTTGTTTGATCATCTCTTCATCCTTAATCGCAGCTCGCTCGGAAAATTTCTCTGCATCCGCCCAGAAAGACATCTGCACTTTCGCTTCCTCGGACTCAGTGCTATCTGAAACGAAGCGCAGAAGATAACCCTCTTTGAGATTTTGGAATTTGGAGTGGAGAGGGTGAAGGGGATCTCTGAGTCCGGCTGGTGTGTGAGGGCTTGTCGTTCCCGTTGCACATTCAGACAACGAACCGCATTCTGTCCCAGGCTGTGGGATATCTTCGAAGAACAAAGTCTTGAGTTCATCTGAAAGGAATGTCGCGTGTCCGAGTCGATCCGGACGACAACTAAGGAGTGCCAGAGAATCCTTGGTTGTATTATTTGTGCTCTACAAATCCGAACATCATTATTGAGTCGCATACACCATAGTGAACATCACAAACCTCCACGATGTGTACGGTCAACCCAAGGCCAGCACCCTTTGCTCTTGATAGGTGCTGAGTGAAGGATTGCATGTCGCCACTACGTGGATCCCCACATACATCAATGCCTACAACTCTTCTGCCTCTGTCCTTCATCTTGATGGCAAGACTAATGCATTCTTCAAGGTCCGAGTCACTCATGCGACGATCGATGGACACGATCAGGGCGGCCTGAGTAGCAGGATACATCTCTGCTTCATCAAGCACAACCGCTAGGTACCTCTCTCGCGTCATATGTGTCGTCGCGCGAGGTGTAGTCCGTAGCTCAAGGTACGTGCACTGAGGACTTTCCATGCCATCACTGGTGGGTTCAGGAACAACTGGAGGACTGCACGAGTAGTTGTCACGACCGCATCCGGGGTTGATGTCAGAGTATAGATCAGAGAGAAAAAGTCAAATATGTCATTCAAGATGACTCCAGACTTGAGTTTCTCGATGATGTCTGCGACCTCAGTTGTCTGTGGACTAGAAGGCGAGTATTTCTGCGCAAGTTCCAGTATTGTTTTGATAGGTATAGATCCGTTGAGATGAGCATGAAGTTCTGCCTTGGGGAGTGACTGAAGGAAAATTACATTGTCAGGGCATAGTGATGCCAGAGCAGCAGCTGCAGGGCCCGCGATTTCTGACATTTGCAAGAGACGACTGAGGGATGGCTATCGCCCAATAGCGAGAAACTCAGAAAAACATCCAGATTCCAAAGAATGGAAAGCCTGAGACGGGCAGACTCGAGAGTTGCGCCCTGTTGCTATCCTCATGAACAGTAAACTCCTCCACATCAGGGCAGCGTGCCCCAATATATTTCATATCTAATTGGACTTCCGATACAGAACAACGGCGCAATGTTGGGGGCAGGAAAAAGTGCAAGTCTCCTATGTCCGTGCATTGAACCAACCAGCATAACGACAGCAGATTCGGAAACACACATGTCTCGATCAGAAGGGCCGTAAGAAGGTGAAAATAATTGGTGGCTGAAGACTTGGGATCATATATGACTGAATGTAGCCTGGTCACACAGCCTAACAGTGGTCTTAACCCAGGCATGTTACACCAAAGCAGATCCATTGCAAGCTCGTGAAAGGTTGTGCATGTCAAGGCGAGCGATGCGAAGGATTTGCGTGTCGATGATCGAGGCCAGCCAAATATTTCTGAACCCGGGGGTTGACTCAAATGGATGAATATCTGCAGGAGTATTTCTGAGACTAGCAAAGTACGATGCATCGATGGAGGAGGTGGGAGGTGTATAGCAGTTGTACGTATACCTTGGATGCTTCTACTTATTTGATTTGTCGTAAGACTAGATTTGAATCTCAACTTGGGTCGTGATTGGCCGCGGGTGCGGCAACCTCCTATTTTACCAATTTAGCCTATCCTTTGTATTAATATTGTCGCTTCGATCAAGAATTCCAAGGAGAGGGACCGAGTACATGAAAGCGACTCGATCAAGGAGAAGAGACCGTTTCACTGAGACGCACTTGGGGCCCCACCCTGGACGTGTGCTCGAAGCACGGATCTTAGCTTACAAAGGTTGTATTTCACGTGTCCATGTCATCCACTCTGCGGTCAATGGTCATCAACTCAACCTCAGGCAAAAATGGCCATCAATTGCATGTTCATAACCGCAGCTTTGTTAGAGTCTATTCTCTATGGTATGCATCCTTTTTCTGGGCACCGTACAGATTTAGTGCTAATACACCTGACAGGAATCAAGTGAGTTCGCAGTGGACAGGCTCCCACTATGCTTATTTTCATCAACAGCTGCGTGGTTTTTGGCGTATGTATGTATGCCCTGTTTAGTGCGCCCAAACAACTGCATTGGTTCATATGATTATTTGTTGAATCATTCGCCAGCATTTACTATTGGTTCAGGATCTTGAGTACTCTTTTATGCGTTTTCCACATTTCAATCGCGACAGCACACAACATCCTCTCCCTTCTTCTCAACGCGTATATCATATTTTTGTCGTAAATCGCGTCTTATCGTTACTTTTTTCAGGGCTCTAAATTTACTACTAGTGAGTAATTACTGGCGTGTCGAGGTGTGGAACCTAACACATGCAACAACAGATCTGGAGGCTTTATGTGGTTTGGAATTGCAAGCGGATCCTTGCTTTTGTCATGGTAAGAGATCTGATGTCATCTTACTTGTTGTTCTTTTGACGAGCGACGGTACCGCTAGCTTTCGGTAGGCTTGTTAGCTGTCGGATCAAGCACTCACAATAACCATCTCCCCTGTTAGCAACTGGTGTCGCAAACTTGGTCATGCTCATAACCAATCGCATCTTCTCGAATACTGCCATAGCTTTGGGGAATACTGGTTGCGCATGCGATCTTGCTCTTACTATCAGTGTCACGTCCGGAATCGCATATCGTCTTTGGCGGGCGAGCCGAGATGTATCTGGTCTAGCCAGTCACAATTTCTACAAAACTGCCATATACACTGTCATCGGGTCCGGTGCGATCTATACCAGTAGCATCGTGGTCGTGTGCGCTCTGTACCAGTCCGGCAGCAATGCTTTTAGCGTGGCAATTAATGTTGCTATCCAGATTTCTGTGAGCACTTTACGCTGCTTCTTCTTTTTAGTCTCACATTCTTCTAGACTTTGAGACCACTTCTTATCATCGCCAGTGTTAGCTTTGGCCTGATGCACAGTGCATACCATGAGCCATCAACGTTTACGGAGCCCACTTTCACTCGACCAATCCAGGTTACAATCACCCAGGAGACCCGTACCCACCCTATATACACTATGGATTCTATTACAGAATCTACTGAAAAGAGTCAGAGTGTACGTGTATGTCATGACGGCGTGTGGTGAAATTGGCTAGGAGCACGGATTCGATTTCTCCTATCGATGGAGGGAGTGTAGACGTACCAATAAGCAGGGAGTTTGCAGTGATTCATGCTGCGCTTGCGTTGGAAACTCGAGGAATCCAGGTGAAGATCATTCAATGACTCCAGGAAAAACCGACAATCTTTGAACACACGCGACGACGTTTCGGGCTGGTCACCAGTCTAAGGTTGACGCCTGATTTGCGCCTGATGCCATTGATGACCGCAGATGCCAATCTTTCGGCATCTCCCGAGACTACTCACATAGGAACGAACACTCAGACAAACCTGAAAACTATATAATGGGCCCTCCCCGCAATGCCTCAAGCCTCAAGGCCTCACTCTTGATACATCATCGTTATCTCCCTGATGTCTTCTACAACACATCCCCCTTGGCACTCCCAATGGGTTACCCGTAATCCCACTATCTTGCCTCATGCTTTTCACAATGCTCGCTACGCAGGGTGGCCCCATCCCCCAGTGCAGCTTCCCCATCCCCCAGGCCAGTTTCCCCATCCACCTGAGCAGTTTCCCCATCCCACAGTGCAGCTTCCCCATGTCACTTCACCTCTATCAACGGCACGGCATATTACTGTAGCAAACGATATACCCTCGCATCGTCCGCAGATAAATGCTGCCCATACCCGTGAGCTGTGATTATTTTCTACAGCTCTCAGCTCTCAGTTCAGCTGTTGTTAGAATCTTCAAGTTATCCCGCTCATCTCCAATATGAACGTCACTCGCACATGAATTTGGGGGTACAAGGTACTTGCCTTTTCCATAGTCGCATCTTGAATTCAAGCTTAATTTGTTCGGCTAGCATCTGCAAATAAAATAAGTCCTGTCGACTGCAACATCCCCAATTCGCGGCTAATATGTACGCATCTTGATTTTACTAACTTGCAAGGTGTTCAAATATCTCTTCTAGATGACCATTCTGTTCCACGAACAGTGTCATCGAACGTTAACGAAACCCAAAATGGTATGCCTCAGATACAATCTGTGATCCCCATCGTTCCTCATACTTCTCTCTCATTAGCCTATCCCCACCCATTTCTCTCGATGTCATTCGTTCCAATAAGATACGACCTACGCTTCCCGCATACATCCCTCGCCTTTCCGTTGTCATCTTTATATGCAGGCTGCGGGTACGAGCTACTCTTCGTCCCACTCACCCCAGAACGGCCTAGACAGATACGGCTCATCAGCCCAGACTTTCCCTGGACATTTGACATCTGTCCTGACCCCGGTGCTGGAGAAGAGGGCGTGACGTGTCTTGATGTTCTCGCTACCCTGCATGCTGCATTGCAGCACCCACTCACGGACACTGAGTGGGGCACCGCTGGACATGATAGGCGCGCGAGTCTTATCAGAGCACGTGATCGTCGCCCAATGATACAACCTGCATTGCAGGGGGGCTCGAATTCTGCGGCACGCACCAGGCCAACAGTGAGATTTGCACCCAGCGCATTAGTACCAAATCATATCTCCATGCAGCGGGAGAGGTTACTGCTCCGTGTCAATTGGCTTGGATCTCGTGTTGCGTTCGCGGGGCTTATGAAAGATGAAGCATTTGCAAGGAGCAGACTCTTTCCGGGTGGTCACGGTGGGGAGCCACCTGAGACTTGGGTGGTGAAATTTCATAGGTTATGATTTTGAATATCCGAAGAAAGTGTACGAATATATTTACTGGTCAATTGCATTGATAATTTGCGAAGTTGAGTGAAAGTAAAACTTATAGAAAGTCTAGGTCCAGTCTATGATAGACCAGGGGTGGTATGTTTGATTACCAATCGGGAGGTGGCTGACCCCGCATGTTCACCTCTAGGTAATCAATTAATCAACCCCACCGCCCACCATGTCATTTTCTTAGAAAATGGAGTACCAACACCCATGTTAACTGGTTGCTGTTGTAGTTTTCGCCAAAGGTCAAAAAAATTTCTGGTTGTCAAAAGTATGTGGTCGTCGTGGTAAATGTTTGGGCTGACGCTGCCGCCACGCGTAGCTCACAAGTCATACTACATCCTGATTGGGAATCACAATTCTAGCCGGGCGGCTGATAGCAGCAGCCTGGCACACCCTCAGACTGGACCCAATCAGAAGAACAAAAAAGTGCTCTTGCGCAAGATCCATGCATTGTTCATCCCTCCTCCACATGTCCTTCACGTCAACCTCTCATTTATCAGCTGCCAGTAGAACTTCAACGCTCATCGTTGACGACGTGCCAGACTGTCCCAGGATCTTCTCATTTGGAGATGGTATCATTTCAGTCAATGTTGTCACCCCTCCTCCGCTCGGATCGTGTTACAGGTTCGACCGTCGAGGGCCAGGCCATTTCTTCTACATATCCCCAAGTGATTGCCCGCTCTGGTAATCAACGCTCAGAGTTGGATTACTCAATGATAGATTGTCGATTTCTTGATCCTCCTTTTTAAGAGGAGACGTTGGGAATCGGTGGTCATGTCAATGACTGGAATCATAACTTCGACACACCACAGTCCACATTGAAGTGTCGTTGGACAGACTTCCGCACATCTACTAAGTCACAGAATCTTTCTCGCCTACGCATTGATACTTGCTATTGCTATGAACACGTCCACATCATCGCATGTATTTCTATGTGCGAAAATCTAAACATACGTCATCTCCACCTCCAGTCTGCTCTCCTGCGAGACATGATTCATTTAACATTTTACTTGTCTGGAGATCTTCGTGGTGAATGAAATCTGTACCGTTGTTGGAAGTGATTCGGCGACGCATGCTTACCTTGAATCGACGACTTTTACCTCCGCATCTCGTTGTCGGATCTTGAAAGCTTGACTGTCTGCAAGGGTTTATGGGGACATTCAGCCGACTTCATCTTCTCATGTTAAGGAAGTTGACTTTGACAGGACCACACTAGGACCACCAAACAAGATTGTCTTTTGGCAGCGTTAAGGGTGGCATCTTTCCACGTACCGGTGGTAACCTTTCAGACGGACGCAATGCTCAGCAGAGTTGATGCTAATGATATTGGGCCGTTGCTCTCGGTTGTGGAGGAGGTTACTATTTGTGGGTCAGTGCTCTGCCATGTCGTTCTATGCACTTTTCATACAAACCTCCCCTTGTCTAGGAACTCGTTTCAGGCCAGTAACTCAGTGATATATCGGAATTCGTGAGTCGGAAGCTACACACCAAGTGCACACTGATGCGTGTCTGCCATGTATTTCATCACTTGAAGTTGACTCATGTCGAACAATCTGGTCTCGATCCTCAGGTGTGTGCAATGCTGCATTCAATTCGACAATAATCTGATTATAACTGGCTCAGCTTTACTGAAGAACATTGCAGTGAGTTGCGTGTTCACGATAATCGTAGAAGCACAGTGCTATTACTGAAACAGGCCTGTCCGTTTAACACGTTCATTCATAACATTGTCTAATCCTACCGCAGAAAAACAAACCCTTCAAATTCCATCGAATTCCATGCAACTTGATGTAGACCTTGACTTAAATCATCACTCGAAGGTTGTTGGTAATACCAGTGCGCTTCGGCTAGCTTACGAACTTGTACGGCCGTTTGGCTTTATCAATTCTGTTGGGGTTCGCAGTGATCATACTGTGTCGTATAAAGGAGTTGGGCTTTTGCTCTCAAGGAGACCGTAAAGAGTGCACTTATCTATTCACTGCTCATCAATCCTGATCTCATAGTTCCACTGCATTCAGTTCGGCTTCTGACAGGCTGTACCGCTTGCCAGAGCACAAGCCTAGTGATGTCTCACACGCCAGCCTCAACAGGTCAAAGTCGGTTCAGGCTGCCCAAGGCACTTCCCTTGCTTCCACAACCTGCATCTTCGACAGCTCTGATGACGTACCACGCATCGTCGCCGACATCCCCCGGAGGACATCAATACTTGAGCAAGCCCTGCGGAAATCAGATGAAGAGATACCTAACTTCAATGAGAACACTGGCCATGAAACTTGCCCTTTTATTTGCATCTCACGTTAAGCCAATCGTGTGCCACACAGAACAGCCTGCTTCCAAATGTCCTCCAATTCCCGTGCCTATCACTCACCCATTCGCTACCCTCAACACAGCCCGCGCTGCAGGATTCCTCTCCCCAACTATCGTAAGACCGTACAGCAATCTCACACATACCCCAGAGAACCTTGACGCAAAGCCCAAGCCTGCAGCACTCAAAAGTCTCTTCTTCATACAACACTTCGAGCCTGCCCATGGTGTCGTGAATGTGGAAGCTAATTGTGTAGGTACCAGACGTGAAGAAGGCACGGCGCTGAAGCTCATCAAGCGCGTTCCTGAAGAGTGAGGACGAAGATGAAGATAAGGAACACAAATGTCAAGATGGGTGTTGGGACGGTACGCATCCTGCGATGCCCGTAACGCAACATGAGAGGGTCCCGCAGGGAAGGAGTAATGCACGACTGACTTTTGATAGAACCTTTGATTCACAGCAAAGTGGAGGAATGTCTCTTTGTGTTCGTCCTTTAGCAATCTGTGTAGGACAGGCGGGGCCTCGTCGGCTATCCTGGTTTCATTGGGGACATCCTCAACAAATATTGTTACAACCGTGCCGGGCTTGCTTTGGCGATTACCACGACAAGAATAGGAAACAAATTCCAGACCTTTATACCATCACCCTCATAACGTCTAGTATGTTAAGCAGAGTCGCACACGAAACATGGGCAGACAGGAGTCACTTGAGATGTATGGATATTTCGAACAGCATGTTGGTGAACAGATCCGAGTCAACCAGATTGACGCTATGTCGTTGTATAAGCGCACGGGAGAATTGAATATCTGGTGTGCACAGAGCGATGGACGATGGGATGAATAGTGCGATTCATATTTGGGTAGGCAGCGCGGCTCTCGAGGTCGAGCTGCGAGACAAATCATAAATTTGTAGCTTGAGATTATAATATTTGAGTAATTGTACAACATGCTAAGTTAAGCTTGCCCAGTATGTCGCAAGAAGTCTTCATACCCAACAACCTCAGACTTGTGAAAATTGTCAAATATCAGTCTGGAAGAACAGTACGCCGCCAAGTCGAGTGGCATCAAAGTATCATGCATCATGAAGACCTGCAATTGGCGACAAGATTTACGAGCCAGCCTACTATGCAACAGATATTGGCGTCTTCTCACTCTTTCCTCAATCCACTTGCCACACCACCTGTGAGGATGCTAGGAAGCTCGTCGCCACCGATAGAGTAAAGCAACGAAATAGAGCCTTCCATCAAGAGGATAAGTGTGATCACTGTCCCTGCGATCAACACGAAGGTGCTGGTACAGACCAGTCAACGAACAAATCTGAGAAAACGATGCAACTACTTACCTACTGATGTCCTTGCGCTGACACATATCGCCCACCCAGCTTTCCGTCTTCCCAGAATTAGACTTGGTGTCAGAGCAGGCGCAAACGAAACATTTCTGTTCAGCACTGAGGGTGCTCACGCACTGCCCATGACCAGAACAAGCATTGGTCGCGTTGGAGCAGGCCTCAGCGCTCGTGAGGCAAGAGGCAAAATGACGAATCGGTGGTCCCACGGGTGGGCGGAGTGCTGGAAGGGGTGACTGCTGCGGTTGTCGTTTGTCCAGCATAAGAGAGGGGGTGTAGGACAAAACGGCGACGCGGGTCTTTGCATCAGCAGTACTGGCTTCAAGAACGGCTCGGATTGTTCTTGCTGCAAGCTGGTACTGGTCGCTTGAACGACCATATGTAGCTGCGAGCTGGAACAGTCCTGTTAACTCCAAGGACGCGAACTTGTCATCATAGATATCTGCGGTTGTCTCGATGAATTTGGTAAGTGTTGATATTTCTGCAAGGAAAGCTTCGTTTGCGGGTGTTGGGGCAGAAAATATGTCAAGAGTCCGAGGGATGCCTTCTGGGGGAATAGCGAGATCAGAGTAGACGAGGGAGTATGAATGAGTGGCGCGTTTCAGATACGAGGGCACAAATGAAGTAAGGGAACTAGTGGGTGCCCCTGCGATCGAGAACGAGCGGCTCATGAAAGAAGGAATGATGTCTGAAGGTGCGACTTGTTAATTGTCACTGCACTTGCTCCTGGAGTGGGACAACCAAACCTTGTAAACTAGCATCGTCTACTAGTAAAAATAACGCGTTTGAAGCCCCTTGTGCGACAAACTCGTGCTCTCTTAGCAGTTCGCCATAACCCTGGAAATTCTCGATTGGCTCGAGACCCAGATGTTGCGACAAGGCAAAATCAGCATGCTGAAGGGAGAGCCGGGATGGAAATTCCTGAGATGGGCTGAGATATACGTCAGCTGCTTGCGATAAACCGACTAACAGCAGACAAGACAGAGCGCTGCAAAGCATGTACACAAAGGATTTAATCAAGTTGCGCGGAATGGTGTACTGTCAAGTTCTAACTTTCCATTTATGGTGCTTACGCTATACCACCTTAATCTGCGCCTTTGGTCGTCGTCCATACGTCCGTCGCCTTTAGCCATACAAGTGCTGCCTTCCAGTCATTCCACGCAGATTTTCCTAGGCCGGACATTACTGGACTGGCCTTTGTGCGAGTTCTGGAAGTTTAGCGATGGGCGGAGCCATGTATCTACGGTGGCACTCTAATAAGCTTTCTGATGGGCAAGGGATTGCTATTCTCCATGGGATGGGCAGTAGCTGATTAAATACACTCTGGCGTTTTGACACCGCAACTGGAGTACGAATATGAATTTACAAATATGAATGGTTGTCACGTGATATTGTATGAAATATTTGTGATTAGTGTGTTGTAATGCACATTGCATCCTGCTCCTTCTGAAGTCCCAAAGCATCTAACATGCCTGAGATTACGATTCTCAAGCGACCGAGGGAGGAAGCTGTTATAACCCAGCGGATGTTCTTCAAAAAGACTGCCCGAGGAAAAGTTATCAAAGGTACCTCATGGGTTCATTTCATCACGATGCTTCATGTATTGAAGGCCGTTTCTCCTTAGTTCTACGCGAACGGTACCTTCGAAATGATATATCTTGCGGCGTCAACGGCTGTAGGGTATGCGACGCGACAGCGCAGACCGTCCTTTGGCGTTCCGAGGACACCACACACAAATATTTCCCCACAGGGCACTATATCCTGCCCGATACTAATGTATTTGCACAGGTATGCATACGAGTACGAGGTCGTGTACGGCGCTGATACTTTACAGATGGACTTGATCGAATCCAATTACTTCACACCCCCCATCATCATCCTACAAACCGTTATGGAGGAAGTCCGTCACCGGACATTACCCTTGCATAGTCGCCTCAAGGCCCTCACGACGAGTGACGAGCGGAAAGTATGGGTGTTTTATAATGAGTTCAGGTCGTGAGTCATTTTTACGAATGCACCTATATTGTCGAGTTTCGCCCTGTTACGGTTAACGATATGTTGCTTCACCTCCTGTTCTGCACCGAGCCCAGTCTTTGGTCTTAAAGTCGTTTCCCATACTATCCTTCAAAGCATGGCGTTCTCATGAAGTGTTGCAAGTTTCCCTCATTACTGATATATGCGTCATAGAGAGACTGCTATCGTTCGAGAAGACGACGAGACGCCGAACGACCGGAATGATCGAGGTCGGTGATGCCCAGATTTGTATCTTTGCCTATACGAATCAAAACCCCATAGGTATCAGGAAACACTAGCACATCCTCCGATCCGAGGTCAAGCAAATGTAGCGCTACCAAAGGTTGTGTTGATCACAGACGACAAATCGCCAAAAAGCAGACAAGGAGAAAATCCCATGCATTTCAGGTATGTATTGTCTGATATATACTTTACCTCGCTTTCTCAAAGAAGTCTTGAAGTGCGCAATTATGTGGACGGGATGAAAAACTCGGATCAACTTCTCGATTCACTTTCGACGACTGGCTCAGACGAAGTGGAGCCTACCAGAGCTGTTGCAGGGCGTACTGCGCTCTATGCTGATGTGCGGTGAATATGGCTTTGCAATTTCTTGACACTTATATCGCGTTTTACAGTATCTTCCTATGTCTACCCTCGTGGCGGGAGTCAAAGCTGGTCAACTTCATCAAGGTGACTTCAACGCAAATCAATATAACTACCTCGAGGTTTGTGATGAATGCATCCGCTCATGCCAGTGCTGATTTCCTCCAGGGTAACGTTCCTGTCCCTGCGTTCACGAAACCTGTCCTTCTAGTGTGCAGGGAAAACATGAATCTATGCACATTTTACCAGTCCTATCCGTCGCTTCGCGGGTATGTAGCCCGTGCAACACTCGTCACTTTCCTTGTGTTTACATTTACATCTCTCAGATATCCTCGTGCACCGCCAGCTTGCTGCCGCTATTGGTTATACACCACTGCATCCATCTCTGCACTCCAAAATGCACGTTGAGCACATCATGGAAGTTGTTAACAGACGCCACCGGATGGCACAAATGGCGGGTCGTGCCAGTGTCGAATTCTACGTTGGACTGGCCCTAAAAGGTCGTAACGAGAGAGAAAGGGAGGTGACCGAGGATGCCTTTGCCATTAGGACATTCCGGGATGGTCTCGGGGTGTTCGTGTCCAAGTATGTTCCATTCATGGTTAGTTATTGAAGGCATCCGAAACTAACTTACTGTTACTTAGACTTGGGCTTGAGGGTCTGGTGATGTTTAAGCGGGACACTCAGTTTGACGCCGAGAACTATACCATCAGCGTCCCTTCTTCTGATATTGGGCGACCGGATGTGACGATAGATGATCTGTTTTCGACAAGGTGACTGTGAGGATTGAGGTTGAGAAGGATAAATACTCAGAGAGGGCGGGTTAAGATGACGCTTGTTAGTCCCGTGGATTCGAGGGCATTGTAATTGTATGAGATGAAGTCCTCGGCTAGCACTAATCCGGTTGACGTGAGTCTTATGACGGTTCTGAAGAGAACTTGTGTGACTTGCATAACCACGTGCGCGATGCACAACATGCTCTCTGTCCCCAAAGACAAACCGAATTCGTGAGGCGTGTTCTAAACAACCACAGTGTGGATAGTAGAATCAATTGAGTTCAGTAGTTCGTCATTGGTCGTGGAAATTTCCAGTGATTCTGTTATGGAAATGGTACTCAAGTCTTTTTCAGTGACTTTATGATACACTGGAATGTTATTGATTTCAGCAAGGGTCACTGAAACCTGGAAGATTCAGTGACAAAATTTTCAACAACCTGATGTTCAACTTATATTTTGCTTAGAGTACAACCAATAGACAAAGTAGGGGTAGCAATATGGTCCTCTCAACGAGGACTATAACTTTTGTTATGGCATCGAAAAAAATTATTGAAGTTTTGGGTATATATACGAATTGCTGCTGGCCTAATAATTGGCTCTATAGTCTAGTAGTTAATGCTACTAGTGTCATGTTGTTAGGGTGTAACTGGCATGCAGGGCGCTTGGGCCATCGAGTCGTCCGTCCAATTATCTTCCGCTTACTTGAGGTAAACGTAGTATACAAGCAAGTCGAGCTCAAGCGTGCACTTCCGGTTGTGCGACAGATGAGAAACTGCTCGGAACAATTAAACGAATGCTCGCATACAGTGCCGCATGCATGCATGCAGGCCAAGAATGGAGCACGTTACCTGAAGTAACCTGGTCCTGTATTGGCATTAACCTTGTAATACGCCAGCCTGTTCAAGACATCTGACATCATCGGTCGCTGTCTCGGATCTTCATTCATGAGCTCTCGAGCTATTTCGAGTAGCGCGTTGCGATCCCTGGATGGACTACACAGGGAGCACAGCTCCTCCAGCGTCTTTCCACAGGACCACAAGTCTGCACGAATCGCGCTGTAGAGGCCTTGACCAGCCGCGACTTCAGGCGCAAGATATCCGGTGGTGCCAACAATGCCGCGGAACATTGTTTCAGTGCCTTTGACGCGTACGGATCTGTTGAAGTCGATAATAGACAAGCGGCCACCGTCGGCGGGGAGGAGGATATTTGGAGGCTTCAGATCCAGGTGCGCCACGCCATGCTCATGCATGAAGTCAACAGCTTTGAACAGCTGCTCGGCCACAGGCCATAGGTGCGCGCCGGCGTTGGATAGACTGGTAAGGTGGCCGCCAGCCATAGGCATTGATATGACGTTACCCCCTTGCACCGGCCAGATTTGGACTGGCGAGATGGTGTAGTTTGAGGGAGATTCAATTCCCGTGAGGTATCGCAAGATCTCGACCTCCTTTTGCCCCTCTTTCACGAATTTGAGATATCCTTGTTGAGAATCATTCTCGATATTTGACACCAAGGCGAGGAACGGATGCTGTAAGATGTATTATCAGTGTTACTATATTGTAGATGACAGTGGCACGCACCCCAAATACAATGAACGAGATCTGGTAATCCATCTTTTTCAAAATACCTTGAATGCCATCAGCATCAAAGACGCCGAGATCATCCTGAGCGCCACTGGCTTCACGATTTTCTTCGAAGACAGAGGCCAATGTCGTTCTCGGCGTTTTGTTGTGCTGAGCCTGTGACGTAAGAGAAATCACCTTGGAAGCGGCAATCTTGATGTTGCCAAGGCGTGTCTTGTTCTTTGGATCAATTTTGCCTGCCAAATCGTCGAACTCCTGCGCGAGGTTGTACATCTCACGAAGGAATGCGACTGCCTCATTGGCCTTTGTAAGGTCAAAATTTTTCTGGACAATGAATACCTGGCCTCCGTTTGAAAAAAAAAGGCGACGACAAACAGAGCGACATACCTTTCTATCTGCACCAGGCTGGGTAACAATATATCTTTCGGCAGTCAAATTTGCACGGAGATAAATTGCCACAACGAAGAATTTCTCTCCGCTTGGCATAAAACATTGTCCTACCCGCGCAAGAGCGATGCCTTGAACTAGCATGCGGAATCGATCGGACTCGCTTCTCTGTGAAACCACTTCACAGATCATGAAGGGGCAAAGAAACGACGTAGACGAAACCATGCAATCGCTGGCTGGGGAGAACTTGCACCAGGTGTTGCGATTATCCCGAGTATTTAGGAAGATGGGAAATTCCCAAGGTGTCTGCCTGAGAAATTAGTGATAGTCAGTTGGGCTGTAACAACGAATTGATCCTACTTACTCCTTGTATTTAAAATGTTCACTACGATGGGAAAAGAAAGGCGGCGATATGAAATGTACAGTGAAATTGCTAGCCTTCTGGGAGGAGGAGGAGGAGTCCACCAGAAGATCACAGTCTTGGTGATAAGAACGGAGGACGCTGTAGAAGGCTGCGAATTCCCGGGTATCATTCACATCGACGGGGTGGTCCTCGGTGGGTACAGCGGGTAAAAATGTGGTATCAAAAAGTGGCTGGCAACTGGAAGCATTTTCCAGGTCCCTTGTCGTATCCGGGATGAATCTAGCGGGTGTGATTGGGGTGATTGACTGGTTTGAACTTGATAACAGCCTCGAAGAGTCCGCATGAGACGGCGGGTCGTCGTTTGGTACAGCGTATGTACGCGTGCGAGCCTCTCATTTTTCATCTCATGTTCATCGGGCAGGAGTCGATTGAACTCCTGGGCGAGCTGTTCAAAGGTCTATTGGAGGCTCTCTTCAACCCATTGCCCTACTGTGGGCCGTGCTGTGTAGAAGTCCGTGCCGCGCTCGGGAGAATCATGTCGATACCATACCTTTGGTTCATCGTCACTTTCGAAGATCCGGATCTAGCCATCCGGATCTTCGGTCCCGTAAATGCATATGTGAGTAAGGGAAGGTCCAGCCTGATATCCCTAAAGTAAATCTGGTTTCCGGCATCTTGCTCCCTGTTGGCGTGAAGTAAAATACTGTGTGCTAAGGTGCGAGATATCTACAGAACATCCGATTTCTGCACAACTACTTACTCGCATGGACCCCCGATGATGTGACACGCCTTCAACAGGCAGTAAAAATAATCCTATGTTCAGATTAGATACACGGATACCACTTGCGCATGAAAGACTAATTGATAGGCTGACGGGGTGATGCTTGCAGGGGTGAGCCCGATGCACCAAACTGATAGGTTGATGCATCAATGCTGAGAGCATGATTGGCGCTAGTCGATGTTCGGCGCGCCCGTGGAGTTCGGTGTTTGTTCGTAAGGCTCCTCTGCACGCTTTGGGTTAGAAGACATGAGATCTGCAGCTTGCTTGAGGAGGTCTTGATTAGATGCCATGATTCAGTGTTGGCTACGGCTGTGGTGCTTTGATGGTACTATAGTAGAAAGCGTTCATAGGCGACGCGTCTTCACACCGTGGGAATATGAACTTGTGAGAAGGAAAGCCTAACAGTCGGGGCAGAAGAAATCATTCCGATACCAAATCTCAGCCACCCGCAGCACCTATTCACTCTTATCTCATCAACGCTCGGGCAACTTCACGACAATGCAAGAAAACAGTTACTTGAAGGAATCATGGCAGACAGTAAGTAATGAGATCATCTTAATGTTATTGACTTGATCTGTGGTGTGTGCAGAAATGTCGTCGTATTATAAGTGAGTGATATCTGCAGGTGCTCTAACGCCTCACTCTGCATTGCTCGAATCGATGGAGAAAGATAATGAGGAAGAGCTCAGGAAGCTAAACGAGAGACTAGCAGAGGCGGAGAAGCAAGAGGGGGAATCTGAGATATCAGACGCTTTGAAAGCCAGAACCGATCATCTAACTCAAATTGGTGACAAGGTATGTCTTTCCTATGCCAATTCATACAGGTACTGAATATTATTTATACATAAAGGAAGGCGCAGTCGCGGCGCAAAAATTTGCCCTTGTCAAAACACCTGGCCTAGGCTCGAGGATAGATATGGTGCTCACTCTCATCCGACTAGGATTTTTCTTCGGTGATAATGGCCTAATCACTGAGAACCTCCCCAAAGCAAAAAGGTGCGCTATCGCAAAACTTTGCCGTGAATTGAATTGACATATCATACAGATTCATCCAGGAGGGTGGTGACTGGGATAGGCGTAATCGTCTAAAAGTCTACCGCGGGCTCCGCATGATATCCATCCGCCAGCTTAAGGCCGGTAGCGCACTTCTCCTCGATGCACTATCGACATTCATCGCCACTGAACTCGACGTACAACGACTTTGTCGCTCTCACCATCATCATAAATGCTCTCACTCTCAAACGAGTAGATCTCAAGAAACGGGTATGCTTGTTCTCCTAGTATTTCCCACTGCTGATCATATTTTCTGTAGCTCATTACCGCACCAGAGGTTATCTCCGTTTTGCCCGAAATTCCGATCCTTGGAGACTCTTAAACAACCTTTACGACTGTCATTACGCAAAATTCTTCATCGCACTCCGTACGTTTTTCATACTTACAATCCACTTCCGAGGCCCTTGTCTAGCCTCACATTATACTTGTTTGACGTCGACTGACATGCCGTACAGCGACCCTTGGGCAGACATATCTTCTGCCCTTGCGACTCCTTTTGCCTCATACCTGCTACTATGTACGAGAGATGCGCATCTTGGCATACAACCAACTTCTGGAGTCCTACTGCAGTCTTACTCTTGAAAGTCTTAGCGGTGCATTCGGTGTCGGCGTCGGCATCGAGTTTGTTCACAGGCATGTATTATCTGCACGTACGTATTCCTTGTCTCTGACCATCTCTTCTAGTGAGCTCTCATGGTTTATTGCCAACGGACATCTGCATTGCACCATCGACAGGGTGCACGGTATTGTGGAGACGATATCGCTCAAGAACGCACAATACGACAAAGTCATAAAGCAAGGCGATGTCTTGTTGAATTCAGTACGAAGATTCAGCAAAGCGCCGCACTAGTACTCTATGTCTCGTCTCAGTGTTTCGTGTAACCGTCCTCAATGATGTCTGCGCTGTTCATAGGCGCTTCGTTGATTACTTGGTGTCTTGCAATTATATGAAGTTCGGTGCATTAATTGTATTAGCGTTAGTAAGACGGAAAAAGCAAGAGAAAGACTGGCGCTAAGTGTGCTAAGAGTACAGTAAAACGAACAGAGAATAGGGAAATTCAACAGCCGAGAAGGTAATGGTTCAAACTTCAGACTGCCAGTCGCTGTCAGATTTCGAGGCACGGCATATGACCTTGCAAGCAATGTCATGGTTCAACGTTCAGATTGGGAGGATCCACTACCACTGGAGATATTAGCCACATATAATAAATCAAATTCATAAAATACTTACTGGAACAAGGTCGTGTGCTCGAGCGATTTTCATAAGTTCCCAGTACGCCTTCTCTCGCTTCTCTCGCTTCTCTAACTGTTCTTCCACTTTCCTCCTGCACTGCATCTCCACCAGTAGTCGCTCGCATATATGATTAAACTGGTCTTCCAGTAACACATACTCTGTAAGCTTTTGGTCCATGCTGCTACGGAGCACACTTCTCCCGGTGGTGTTTGATAGGAGCTCAGAAAGCTGTTCCACATTCAATTCCAATTCCAATTTAATGGTAGTATACTGTATAATAGTAGATGACAGGCTATAGTGTCATATTATTGCATTATACTAGGCTAAGCATCAGTGAGAAGAGATGCAGGAGCAATGCTAAGTGTAAGTTGCATTACCTTCTCACCCAAATGGGCAGTGGAATGCATTAGTTGTATTGTAATGCATTACCACTCAAAAACTGTGTTCGGTCCTTGTACTGCCATATATAGGTGACATCCTCTCGGCTTATATTCGTGGTCCAGGCTGGTCCTGGCTGGCCCTTGCCTTCCAGGCCCTGTTCCTGGCAGCCCCCTACCCCACAGTGCATCCTATTTTTATTCACACTCTTTCTAGTTGTTTGATTGCTATGAATTGAATTAAACTTTGTGCTTCGAGTGTGATAGCGCGGGACTTGCCATACCACCCTGCCGCATGCCGCCTGCATGAAATAGTACTAAGTCCAACACGGAGATTTCCGAACACGCAAATTTTTCTAAGTCCCGTCTGTATGCCCGCAATGTGCGTGTGAGTACTAAGTCCAACACGGAGATGTCCTCATACGAAAATTTTTCTAAGTTCCAACAGTTTTCTTACATGTATCGCACTCGAAACGCGGTGGGGAATTTATTAAACATCTAGCGGCAAGGATTATAACATTGCATCTCAATTACATAGTCTAATTTTCGAGCGACTCAGACACTAGACATTAAGTAGGATCAGCATGATTAAGACCGCATTTACCCTCGCTTGTGTCTCCTGTAAGAAAAAGATCTATGAGTAAAGAATACAAACGAAATCAATGAACATACATACTTGTTTGAGCCTATGTCATTGTCGTGTCCTCGTTTGTTGCGCCGAGCAGATGAAGTACCAATGGCATTGTCAAGTTCACGTCGATTGAAAGCAACATTGCGTGCACGGCGCTGGCGAGTTTCTTCTGGCGGAGGGATCTGTTGTGCATCCTTACTTACTACAGCTGCCCGAGTCGTTCTTGTACGTTGGCGATGGTTGGGAGGGGAAGGCACCACTACCTCCAAGTCAAGACCCACTGGGCCAGTTCCCTCATCGGGAACCGCAGGCAGACGAACATCAGTTGCGTGTGGGGTCCGCGGGGGAGTTGAAGGAGGGGGCAATATCAATGGCATATCGGATATTGATTCAAAGGGGGCTTGGAACTGAGGGCCAGCGGAGAGGTTGTTGACAAAGTTCAGGTTTAACGAGTCCAGAGGAGGCGCCGAGATCTGAGGAACGTCATTCTGAGAGCCAGTGGTGTGATTCTCGGTATTCACAAAGTTCGGGGTGAATGAGTCCAGGGCAGGCGCTTGGAACTGAACATCGTTGTCCAAGCCCAGTTGGTTTAGATCGAGGTGAAGATCTTGGAAATCAAGTTGGCCGGGTAAAACATAACGCTGATCCTGGACGTCAGTAAAGATACTACACGCAGCTCGTACATAAGTAAAATTACTGACCTGAGTTGCCGAGTCTGAATAGTGGTCTGCCTCCATTGAACCAAAATCATTTGGTAATGGTAATGCAGAACATTGAACTTCATGCTAGATGCGCGGTAAGAACCATGAATAATGCATTATGATAAACGTGTGATGCATTATAATGCTCACCTCCTGTGACTCTGGATCAGGTGATATGGTATACACACTGTCCGTGTGAAAGGCAGTGCTGTTGATTTCACCCACGGCCGTACCACCACCACTGCCGCTAGCTTCATCTCCTCCATCGATTGTTGATTCGTTGGTGTCATCGTCTGAGTCACACTCATTATCTTCAGGGAGACTAGCTTCAAATGCTGCACAACACAGTGAGTCTCGCTACTTGATATTGAGAAAACAATGTCACTTACCAAGCGCTTTGTTAGTAAAGTCCAAAAACGCTTCCTGGATGACATTAAACTTGTCGCAAAATATGTTGAACTGAACGCCATTTTCAAGCTCGCCTATGTGATAACTTCAATAGTCTTATAAGCTCATGTAAGCCGTTCAACATATAGATCAACATACTCATAAACCATCGTCCCGCCCAGCGTTGGGTCAGGTCCTGCCATGAGGACTGAAAACTTCCAGCCGCCGGTCGCGTGAGACATGTAACGGAATACGCGGTCTAGCATCGGTCCAAGCTCCCGAATGGCCCTACCAACATCAATGAGAAATCTCGCTCATCAATCACCCAGGAGGTACATACCTGATTTTTGATTCTTCATTGACCTTTGGCATCTTACCAGCCCTCAGGCGCTTGCGATCTCTGGCAAACTTCGCTTTTGCTTCCTGATACTTCTTTTCCACGCCTCTTTCACCTCCTCACTCTCGGCCTCGAACTTTTCCTGAGTGACAGCCAAACGCTTGTTCAGCTTTGGACCACGGTCGGTGATACTGTCCGTGCGAATAGCTTTGTCCGCGTCTACCTTGACCTTCTCATTATAGTACTCTTGCGAATATATGTGCAACTTTTTGGGTGCGCGTCCTTTGTTTATCCCACCTGCCAACACCGCATCGAATTTGAGCACCCCCCGTGTCCCGCTTGTACGGCTCAAGCGTGACACATTGGTCATCCAGCGGTACCAACGGGTGATTTGCTGTGATGCAGCGAGAGTTTGAGTATGTGTTTGACGCGTTTTTTTGTAGTATGCTTACCAGTCTCCGAGTTTCGATTGCCTCTGCTAGAATTTTGGTTTGCTGAACCGACAGTTGATCGGCTGGGATGTCTGGAAAGACCACACTGCGTTCTGGCCACTGATTGAAGAACTCCAGGCAGGCTTTTTTCAATACAGGGTCGTATTTCTTGGTGGGGATACATTCGCGGTATTCAGGGAGGAACTTCTCCAGGAGTGCGGCTTGTTCCTTCGTTGTCCACTTTTTTTTACCCATCTACTCGTTGCAGTGAGTCTATACAGATGTGTTATGACATGGTGTGGACACTCACATTTGATTTTATTTGAACGTACTAGCAATTTCTAAAAAATATGGTGAGTCTACGCGCTATGACACAGTGCTGACACTCACGTATGATATTGCCAGCAGTTAATGGAAAATACGGTGAGTTGATACAGACGCGTTATGACACAGTACTGAAGCTCGCGGTTAGTATTAGATGCAGTAGCGCGCTTAATGGAAAATGGCAAGGGTGGAAGGTTGACGCGTCTTTCTCATGGATTTACCGGGTTCTGGTCTCATCAAGGACCTTGTGAGCGAGTAAATTTAGCCTTAGATTCTTGCAAGGAAGCATACTCTAGTACTATTCTAGTATTTTAAATATCTGAATTGGCTATGTAGCAACAAAGAATGTATGTCTTCTTGACATGATCTGCAAGTTGGCACCTAATTGCGTGACAATCGCAAGACTAATTCTGTCGCAAGAGTGATATGAGAACAGCGCAGCAGATACACATGAATGATGAGACGCACAACTTCGGGCCTTGGGGCATCTGGGATACCGCCTATCAGATGAGGTGTAATATGCTATAAGATTCTGAGAATGTGAGCGCACTATCAGTACCGATATATTTTCTACAAGACAGTTAAAAACACACCCTGCGGCGTTTTCGCACTGCAACACCTACTGCGGCCATTTGCTTTGGAGTCAATTTATAGAAAGGAGTCCCAGGAAACAACTCTTTCTCCTCAGGCCAACGTGCAAACCAACGCGAAAAGAGTCTGTTGAAGAAAAACGGCCGCTCAGCCGGATCCCGTATCGCAAAGAATTCCTCTGAACGAGACCAGAGGAATTCTTCTTGGATTTGTCGGAGGGGAGGGGGCTTCTTGGGTAATAACTTTTCGATTCGATAGTTAGTAGCAACAGCGCGCGAAAGGACTGTTTTACTTACATCAAACACAGACATGGATTCATCCTGATGCGCCATTCAGTGAGTACAAAGCTGGAATAAGTATGAGTTGGGGGCAACGTACACAGCAGGCGCGTTAAGTACTTTAAGTTCCAAGTCTTCTGAAAAAGATCAACAGAAGCGCAGGAAGGCGGAATTGATACGGTCCTACCATGATGCCGCATACCTTTGAGGACAGAATATCCGGCATAGAGCCAGCATCTTTACTGATGTGACTGACTTGTAAAGTCCAATGCATGTATTGGGCGATGCACCAGGGGGTGGGTTGAATGTGGCTCGGGATGAACATGCTCACTAGTAGTAGTAGTACGTTCAAAACATTAATGATGTCATCAATGAATCAATACGGTTCTACTGTTCATACCTTTATGGACAGAATATCTTGACTCCAGCCTACAGTTGATGGTCAAGCTTCAAGCTTCAAGAACCAGTCTAGTATATATCCATAGGGATAGCATTGGTTTGTGCACTGGTGAGTGGTATTGTTTTGCCCGGGCCGTACATTGGATTGTTTCAAGTTAGTATCTGCAGCTCATAAGGTCCGACCGCCGTCTCATAAGGTCCAACCCACTACATACAGTCTAAATCTATTCTACTCAAAGGTATGAGAGTGTGATGCACATGGCACACTCGTTCACTCCACGCACTCAGGCTTAGTGTCCAAGTCCCCACCTGATGATTAAGGCTTTCACAGTATGCACTCTGAGTCTGATCAATACGGTCCGACCAATCGAAGCAGGATGGAAGCACCATCGAAGCACTTTCCAGTGGGACCAAATAGTGTGAGCGCACTTTTTCTTCTCGCCAGACTCGAACATTAGCTCAACATCCCTTACAATTAGTAGCAGTCCAATTAACACTATCATGGCGCCTCCAATAAAATATAAAACCCCTGCTGCTAAACTACAAGCTGAGAGGGCCAAGCGCCGTCGCTACTACAAAAGGTATGTGACATTTGCAGCTAGCGCCTGAATATTTCTGATCAATGACTACTAGGCGCCGTGGTGCTATTTTGGCGAAACGCAGGCAGGAACGTAAAGACAAGAACACCCGTGACAACGACAATATCCATTCACTGGCAGATGACGACAATAACCATTCAGATGACGACGAACCAATGTCAGTACTAATATTGTTGTCGAGGTGTTTGAAAATCATTTTATATTAACCGCAGCACACTGTCTGATTACATTGTCATGGTCAAACTCGCTAAGGATGACTTCATGGAGCACATCAAATCTCCGCAAACGTTCGCCACCAATGTATTAGCTAGATACACCAAATCCATCCCAGACACTTATATGGTCAAAACAGAAATAGGTTACAAAGTTCAAAACTTTTTTCTCTTCTTGGGCTGGTACATATGTTAGAGGGATTCCCAAGGATCAATATGAGCCCGGAATGAAAGAAAACGGCGGTTGGGATGTGGAGATAAAGTCCAAATACTGACTTTTTCATACCTGTGACCAAACTCAATATTTTCGACCTCCAGAGACCCTGGGACCATCACCAATCGATTTCTACGTCTTAAAAGCACCAGGACCATTATTTACAGTATCGGTTTTGAGCTAAAAGTGACCATAGTAAGATATATGAGGTAGGAGGGGGGAGGAGGACCTTCTATATCTCAACAACCTGATTTTTCCTGACAAAACGGGCTTGACCATCGTGTTTAGGGACATCAGGAGCACTCCGGAAAAATACTTTTAGAGGACAAGCAAGTCATGGGAAGCCTAGAAAAATCGACCTTTGAGGGGGGTATCAGGAAAACTCCCATATGTTAATTAGGATGGACTCAAATCACTCTGGGACCATTTCCAATCGATTTATATGATAATAAAACAGTAGGAACATCTCTTTATATACCGGTATTTACATAATATCAAGATATATGAGTTTGGGGGGGGAGGGGGACCCTGCATATCTCAACAACCTGATTTTTCCTGACAAAACTAGCTTTACCATCGTGTTCAGAGGCATCAAGAACTCTCAGGAAAAATACTTTTGTAGTCCTGGCAAGATATGGGAAGCCTGTAAAAATCGATCTTTGGGGGGGGTACCAGGAAAACTTCCATATTTGTCTCAGGATGGATTCAAAACACTCTTGAACCATCTTCAATCGATTTATATGATCATAAAACAGTAGGAACATCCTTCTATATACCGGTATTTACATAATATCAAGATATATGAGTTTGGGGGGGGGAGGGGGACCCTGCATATCTCAACAGCTTGATTTTTCCTGACACAACTAGCTTTACCATCGTGTTCAGAGGCATCAAGAACCCCCAGGAAACATACTTGTGGAGTCCTAGCAAGACATGGGAAGCCTAGAAAAATCGATCTTTGAGGGGGGTATCAGGCAAACTTGCACATCACATTCCATATTGGTTCAGAACACTATGAAGCCATCTCCAATCTATTAATATGATCCTTAAATACTGGGAACATCCTTTTCACATCATTATTGACATGAAGTCATGCCTCTTGGTGAAGTAGGTGGGGGGAGGGGGTAGCATGACTCTCAAACCTGATTTTTTCAGATCAAATTCGCATTTCCATCTCATTCAGATTGGTCAATAACCTCTAGATCAAGTTCAACATGAAGCCAGACAAGTCACACGAAGGCTGAAAAAATCAATCATTGAGTGAGGCAGCATGACAGGGGTGACACAGCTTACATAAGCAAAAGCGGTGGACTTGGACTCACTTATACCAAGACTTTGCAAGATCAAGTATTTCTGTTGCTGCTCTATATATATGGATCAATTACCTTCATAATGAGCCTGAGATCGAGCCATGCGAGTGATATATTGGTACTGTTGGCAATAGTTTGACCCCCATGAAGGGGTGGCAACCAACCTCAAATGCCCCCAGAATCACCAAGTCAAAAAGCCCCCAGAAGCGAAAATAGTTGGTACTGTTAGCAACAGTTTGACCCTCATGGAGGAGTGGCAACCAACCAAACATGCCTCCAGAATCACCAAGTCAAAAAGCCCTCAGAAGCGAAAATAGTCGGTACTATTAGCAACAGTTTGACCCTCATGAAGGGGTGGCAACCAACCAAAAATACCCCCAGAAGCGAAAATAGTTGTTACTGTTAACAACAGTTTGACCCTCATGGAGGGGTGGCAACCAACCTCAAATGCCCCAAGAATCACCAAGTCAAAAAGCGAAAATAGTTGGTACTGTTAGCAACACAGCATTACAGACATTCATAACTTTTAAATGTGATTTTTTTGAATGAAAAGGGCATTACCATCGTGTTCAGAGGGCTCAATACCCCCAAGTGAAACGTCTATTTGAAGCCAAGCAAGTCATATGAAGGTTGAAAAAATCAATCATTGCTCGAGGTGGGTCTGCTTACATAAGCAGAAAAAATGCGGAGGCAGCACAATGAGGTGGTTATTTTTCATGGACAAACTCATGTTTCCAGTGCATTAAGCAGGTTCTATCATATTCAAAACAATTTCTGCTTCAAGTCTGGCCAATCACATGAACACACAAAATATGAAACTTGAACAGATGCAGCCAGCCAACTGAACTGAACTGACCAACATGACTTTTGTGACTCAGACAAAAAGCTGAAATCATGGCAGGACAACACTTAATAGCTTGCCATGTGGAAATGAGAAACAGGTGAACTCATTGTGAAGGACTAGGTTCAAATCCTCGTCCTGTCATGTTTTCAGTGTTCAAACTGGTTCGTCTTGACTCACCAGTATGAGTTCACCTGTTTCCACTTCCATATGACAAGCTCTGAAGTTTTTGTCTTCGACGATAAGTAAGACAGCAAGGAAATCGCTACATGTTTGGATGAGAGGTGAGGAAGGTGAAGGTGGTAATCAATCTTGGGACGAGGCAGATGGCACTGCTTATATAAGTTTCCATTGATTTGGCTGTCATGGAGGATGGTAGGAGATGAAACCAGCTCCAGCAGGTGTTGCAATACTTGATTAATGCGAGTCGTGACACAGCTGTGAGCTGGCTTCGTCTCCTACCATCCTCTATGCCAGACACAGCCAACTCAATGGCAAATTGGTTGGCCTGTCTTGCCGCCTTAGAAAAATATTTGACGATAGACAGATATCAAAACCACCAAGAAGGTAAGTACCACACTTTAGATTACCACCTTCATCCTTGATGTCATTGAGTAGAAAAACAAGTTTCTCTCTCCATTCAGCCTCAGAAAGGAACAACACATCTTCATTTATATGAGAAAAACAAAAATAGGGTTGAAATATCGACAGCTGAAATCATGGCAGGACAAGGATTTGAATCTAGTCCTTCCCAACTCCAGGGGGGGACATCTTAACCACTAGACCGTCCAGTCATTACAGTTAGAGACAAAGATGTGAGGAAGGCGAAGGTGGTGATTTTGCGACTGGTGCATGTCTAGAATAGATGTCAGAACAGGTAACACAGACTCTGCTTCATCTTGAATCACCAGGATGGGTTCACCTTTTTTCCAGTTCCATACATCAAGCTCTAAAGTGTTGTCTTCGATTATAAACAAGATAACGAGGAACTCGCTACATGCTTGAATTCTGAGCTACTATGGAAATACCATGCTATAGCTAAAGGCACGAGCTATGTTCTCCAGCTACATGGCCCTATACAAAGAGATAGTCTAGTAGTTAAGATGTCCATTGGGAGTTGGGAAGGACTAGGTTCAAATTCATTACATCTATATAATATAACATCGTGTATATATTCTAATCCACATCCATTTCATCATCTGTCGCCACATGTGCTGATTCACCCATTGGGAATGGCCTGGACTTGCGAGGACGTGGGGGTGGGGGTACCCTTTTGTTTTTCTTTTCCATAGTCATCTTTTTGTGAATCTCCCGACGCTTTTGCCTCTCTGTCTTCCTTCTCAAATTCCCATTGGCGTCAAATGGTGGCGAGTCCATCAGATCAGCCGCAAATATGCGCTTTCCCTTGATCACCTTCATAGTCCGACGCGCTCTTGGAGCTCTCCTCTGACTCTCGCCGAAAAAGTGGTGGACATGGACATACACACTTAGAACAAGACTTTGACACATCACATTTCTGTTGCTGCTAAATATATATGTATCAATTCACTTGTTAATAAAGTCACACCTGTGTCAGCTATTCCACTTTTCCACTTTTCTTTGGCTGGTTGTCACTTCTCTATGGGAGACTAACTGTTAATGATGGTACCCCCCTCCCCTCCATTCCATCAAGCAACCTTATACTACTTCAATATTACATTGTATGTGATATAGGGCAGAGGAGTAGTTGCACATCATAATCTAGCGGTTAGGATGACCCCCTGGAGTCAGGAAGGCCCAGGTTCAAATTCTGGTCCTGGCATCATTATGTGGTTAAATCAGCCAGCTCAAAGCTGCATCATAACTCACATCAATCAAGAGCACTCCAGCAGGTATTGGACTCCTTGAATAAGTAATGTGACTCATGATGTGGCTGTGAGCTTGCTTCATCTCCTACCATTCTACATGCCTGACACAGCCAACCCAATGTAAAATTGGGGGCACGACGACTATTTAAATTCATTCAAGTCACATGAAGACTGAAACAATCAATCATTGGGTGGGCAGTGACACTGCTTACATAAGCAAAAGCGGTGGACTGGGACACACTTACAACAAGACTTTGAAATATCACATTTTATTGCTGCTGAATGTTATATAGATAACTCACCTTGGTAATAAGGCCAAGATAAAGTCATATATGGGCTGACACAATCAACCGTGGGTTGAGGACCTCAGCATTACAGACATACCATAACTTTGGAACATGAATTTTTTTGAAAGGAACAAGTATTACAATCATATTTGGAGGGCTCAATAATCCTTAGTGACATGTCTATTTGGAGCCAAGCAAGTCATATGAAGGCCAAAAGAAAATAAAGCATTGCATGAGACACCATGACAGGTGTGACACTGCTTACATAAGCAAGTCCTGTGAGATCACACATAGCAGAACATTCAGCAAATCTCATTCTACTCGATAGATCAAATATTTATGTTGCTGCTGAATATATATGGAACAATCGCATTGAGAATGAGCCTGAGATCAAGTCATATACATATAAAGGCTGAAATAATTGACCTTGGGTTGAGGACCTCAGCATCACAGACATTCATGACTCTTGAACATGATTTTTTGGGAAGAAAGAAGTGTTACAATCGTATTCGGAAGGCTTAAATAACCAAAATGAGAGGTCTATTTGAAGACAAGCAAGTCAAAAGAAAGGTGAACAAATAAATCATTGGGTGGGGGATGACACTGCTTACATAAGCAAAAGCGGTGAACTTTGGCGCACTTTATTTTCACTGCATATTTGAGATCAGGAAAGTCATCAATATCAGTTTAATTATTTATATCTTTAGTTCTACATGAGACAAGGAAAGTCATACGAAGGCTGAAAAATAGATCATTGCTTGGTGCACCAGGTAGGGGGGCGGAGGACAAGGCATAACTTATCTCTCTCTTTTGGATGAACTTTATTGTGATCTAATTATCCAGTTATTGACTAGCCTGGTGGCCTGTTTAGCATTTACGTGCTGGAGCTCTAACTTCACAAATAGAAGTACATCACAAAACAGAAATAGATTTCCACCATTTAAAAACACAATATTTTCTTGGACTGGTACCTATGTTGGAGGAGTCGTCATATATAAACTCAATCTATCTCATTTCATGCCCGCTCCAACTGGGTCTTCAGTGTTCTGGAGCCAAAGACATATAGGTGATTATCTGAGAGTTGAAATGATAAAATGAAATATGTGAAGTC